TTGTATGGACAGAAGTGTCGTACGCCGTCTTGTTGGCTTGAGGCTGGGGAAAAGCAGTTTATGGGGCCAGAGATAGTCCATCAAACTGCTAAAAAGTTGAAAATAATTAGGGAGAGAATGTTAGCAGCTCAGGATCGTCAAAAGAGTTATGCTGACAAAAAGCGAAGACCGATGACTTTTGAAGTTGGAGATTCGGTTTTGCTTAAAGTCTCGCCGTGGAAGGGACTTATAAGATTTGGAAAAAGGGGAAAGTTAAGTCCAAGGTTTATTGGACCGTTTAAAGTTCTTCAGAGGATTGGGAACCAAGCTTACAAGCTCGAACTACCAGAAGAACTGAATGGAATTCATAACACTTTCCATGTGTGTTATTTGAGGAAGTTCACGGGAGAAGTTCCCGACATAATTCCACTTTCAGAGTTGAGGATCGATGAGAACAAAAGGTTGATTGAGGAACCGGAGGCAATTGTTGACCGAAAGACTAAGAAATTGCGACGTAAGATGGTGGAGTTAGTGCTTGTCCGATGGAAACACACGAATGGGCCAAATCTCACCTGGGAGACGGAGAGTGACATGATGAGTCGCTATCCGCATTTGTTTGCTGGTGTGTGATTCCGGGGACGGAATCATTCTAAGGTGGAGAGAATTGTAACGCCCGTGTTTCTAGGCTTTCCATTTTTAGCAATGTAATAGTCTAGGTTAACCTTGTAACTCAACTGGAAATAATAAGAATGTATTATTTGTGAATTATTTGAATTATGTGATTTATGTGTGTATTTTCTTAATTTTTATAATTTAATAAATTAAGAATAAAATAAGCATCAAAATTTAAGTGTGAGATAAGCCCGACATCTTTGCATAAAGTTGTAGTGGTCGAAACAAGGATTCCGGGGATATAAGGAATGCCAAAATCCGAGTTATAACGAAGAAGTTATGACCTGTCGAAGTTTCGCAACAGAACCGACACGACGCCGAGTGACGTAAAATATGAATTTAAGATAGAGCGATATTTAGCCTTAGAGATCTAAACAAAAGTCGTAGATTTCGTTAAACCGAGAGCGTGCATAAAAGGAACGCCCAAATCTGACTTCGTATGAGGAAGTTATGATTTTCTGAAGTTTCGACGTGGCAGTATGCAGCCCGAATACTTGATTTGAGATCGAGCGGTTTTTAGCCGAAACAATCTAAATGAGAAACGAAGATCTCGTTGTTAGTAGCGAAACGATGACAAGTTAGGCGAGGGACGGACGTCAGACGAAGAAGTTATGAATTTATAACGAAGTTTTTCTGTCCCGGCCTTCTAAAAATAAATAATAAAAATAAAAGTCAAAATTAGCCGACGGAGTCTAAATGAAAGTTGTAGAGTATGGTCTGACCTTCGCATGGATATAAAGAACGTCGAAAACGGAGCTCGTATGCGAAAGTTACGCAATTTAGAAGTTTGACAAGTCAATTACGCCCCTCGTAATTTGTGTACGCCCCGCGTACTCAGTCGGATGCAATTTCTCTGACCAATACTTGAGTGCCACCAGTCGACGCACACAGTGACGTCAAAGTACGCCCCGCGTAACCCGAGTACGCCCTGCGTACTGAGTACGCCCCGCGTAATTTGAGTACACCCCGCGTAATCCCAGACCCAGCAGCCTATAAATAGAACTCGAATTCAGCCATTTTCTCTTGTTCAAACTCTTCCCTCTCTCTAAGTTTTGCCTCGATTTGCGTGCCGTTTATACCTCAAAGCCCCGGTAATATTCCCGAGCCCCGAAGTAAGATCCGAAGCCCCGAGGATCCCGAAGAGCGTTTTTTCCCGAGCCGAAACGCTGCCCGCGAGGAGCCCGGTTTTGTGAAGATCTTCCAGATCTACGGAGAAACACCTCTTCCTGCAAGCCATAGTGCTGCCCGATCATCTTCTGATCAAGTGAGTGTGTAGTTATTTTCATTCCAACGCAATATTATGAAGTATTTCCTATAAAATACGTGTTATGTGTATATATTTGGTTGTTATACGTGTGAGTGTATATTCACTCTCTTCTATCTTATAGATCTGATGTATTCTCTATGAAATACGTGTTATGTGTGTATGCCTCATCTGTTATGTGGAATATGTATTGCTTAAAGCATGTTATACAAGTTTTTAAACAATGTATAAAACTGTATATTTTTATCTACTAATATGTTGGGTAGAACATGGGTAGGTAATTGGTGTGTAATAAACAGATGAGAGGCCTCGGTGTTATTGGTGTTATTCTAGTCATTCAGCAGAGTATGGATGACGACCACGGACTATTCTAGACTGTCCTGTGGAACACTAGCAGGCTCATTACCTGTAGGTGTTGTGAACGACGTGTTCACCGGTGTACTCTATCCCCCACATGGTTGCCTTTAGGACACTTAATGTTGAGGAAGCCCCTCTGCAGTAATGTCCGTCCCGATGAAAAATCCTGAAATAGGTTCCTTATAATAGACGTTATTTTTAGGAACGTAAGGTGAGGATAACGGGAATGGGTAATCGGGTTTATTGTTGATTGTTGAAATTAAATATAATTATTGTGGGTTGAAAACCCTATATGCTCACCAGGCTCCCAAGCCTGACCCACTCAGTTGATTTATTTTACAGGAAGTGGCGCAAGAGCTTAAGATGGGCGAACATCAAGTTGTTTTGTTTACAAGTCTGTGTATTTGTTGAATGACTTGTAATGCTATCGTTTATGCTTTATGATCTGTATCGGAACATGACATCCCGACTTTTGATTATGAAATGAAATTATATTTCTTTATGAAATGTTTTGATAAATATCTATTTTATCATGTTTTGTTTTTGGGAACAAATTCCGCATCTGTTTTAAAATTAAAAGGATTTACTCTGAAAATTATTTTAAAAAGCATAAATGAAATCGGTCTTTTCTGGCCGAGATTTTGGGGATGTCACAAATAAGCAAATAAGCTGAAAATGTGTTTGGGTAAATGAAAAATGCTTTTAAAAAGAGCTTTTTTTTAAAGAAGAAAAAACAAATTTTGAAAAGCAAGAGAACCGTGACTTTTTAGGGTTTACTGACTTTTTAGCTTTTACCAACTTAAAAACTTATCCAAACATATTTTTAAAACTGTTTTTAGAAAAAAGTCATAAACCAATAAACACTTTTCTAAAAAAAACACTTTTAAGTATAAAAAACACTCCCAAACACCCTCTTAGTTAAATTGTCAAAGCTTAATTGTATCTAGTTAAAGGTTATTATACATATATATATATATATATATATATATATATATATATATATATATATATATATATATATATATATATATTGCAATTATGTTTTTATATATAATAAAGAATAACTTATCCAAAACTCTTTAAGCAAGTTATTAAAAACTCATTTTTAAATTAATTAATGCTTATTAAACTTCATATTTTTCTAGACGTTTGAATTGAAAATCTGAAAGTAAAAAAAAAAAAAAAAAAAAAAAAAAATAATTATGGGGGAGTATGTCCAGCCTATTCCGGCCCATTTCGTATTGTTCGTAGACCCATTTCACAAGGTATCCTGCGAAATGTTTAAGGACATCACAAAATACCAACAACTATGTTATAATGGACCCATTTCACAGTATGCATAATGGTATTGCAGGATGCCCAACGAAATATATGATTGTTGGTTTAAGAATTTTTTTTTGGCTAAAATTTGTAAAACAAAATAAGAAAATAGCTATATTTGTTATTTTTTCTAAAAAAAAAGTGTATATTGTATTTGTTATTGCATGAATTATTTTTCTAACTTGAACCGGTTTAAAACCGGCTTTTTCTACACCTCTTCATTCATTCAATATACCCAGCCCATTATGAGTATCCAACAAAAATCGTATAATCCATGGAAACTTAATTCCTCGGTTTAGACCTTGGCAAACACCATTAGATTTTAAGAAATTTTTATTACAATATTGTACTTCGAAATGCATAATCATTCTAACAATGAGACGACCGATAAGGTAGTAGTTTACCCATTATGATATGTTATTCTACTGAAAATGTATTCGAAAAACAACGCGGTAATAATAACAATTGAAAATGAAACAATTTAGTAAAATTCTAGAAATATGCTTGCACTACTAATTTTTGCATTTAACCCTAAGTTTAATTGTGTTTTTTGTTTGTTTGAAATCCAATAAAAAAAACTTAAAAATAATGCTACACTATCAAACCAGCCAACTAAATTATTTTTTGTTACTTTGGGATAAACAAATGATCTCTAGTTCAAGTTTTGACAATGACTAGTTCTATACAACAAGCTCAAGGTTGTTTGTTGTCTACTGTTTGTGATTATCAGGATTAACTTCTCATGGGATTCTGGATAAAACTATTTTTTGTTGGTTTTTATTGTCTAGTCAAAACAAATAAGTCCATTTGTAAGATACAAGGTACAAGGATTGAAAAAATCAACATTTAATAAAGTTGGGTTGAATAAGTGGTACATAATACCTTTTGTAAGTTAACCAACAAATCACGATTATGGTTGTTCTAAGGTGACCTTGTAGAATCCAATTTACAATAATAGTCCATTGATTTAATCCAATTGATGTGTAAAATCGACAAACAAAGTTCATTAGTTTGAACAATATTTTTCGAATCAAGTGAACTTATGATTTCGTTAGCTCTACATCACCCAAAGAAAAATCATTATTATTGCTTCATGCATGTAAGCTTTTTGACCCATTATAGTATCCATTCACTTGATTAGATCCGACCCCGAGTTTATTGGAGTCTTTAATAGCCACATATCTGTTGCTATACTGCCTTTAATTAGTTATCGACCACCCCACAAGTTGCAAGTTGGTAATGAAAGTTGCCAGTATTATATCATTAATTTGTATATATATCAACAAGAAGTTGAAGAATGGATCCCACTAAATAAATTGGTGAGTTAGATATAAAGGGTAAGCGATTCTATCCATTCATACACCTACCTACACACAACTTCACCTGCAAAAATCCCACACAAACCACCATGGATCGAAGCGAAGAAGATATGAAATCCGTTGGCTTCTTCGGAATCTTCAAACACTCATTCAAAACCATCTTCTCATGGAAGAAAATCTTCGCACAAATCACTCTCACCTTAATCCTACCTCTCACAATCGTGTTTTTAGCTGAGATGGAAATCTCCCACCATGTATTCTTGAAGATGGAGACCAATTCTTTCCTACAGTTTGAACCTAATGACGACGATGGAAACCGAACAAGCGCCATGGATTGGCTCTACTACTTGCTATTCAAAATCGCCTTCATCATCCTCCTCACCGTCTTCTCCCTCCTCTCCACCGCCGCCGTCGTCTTCACCGTCGCCTCCATCTACACCGACCGAGAAACCCTTTTCCGAAATGCCATGAAAGTCGTTCAGAAGGTCTGGAAACGACTCTTAGTCACTTTCGTAATCATATACATTGCGCTCTTCATCTACGACGTAATCGGCTCGGTGGCTCTAGCTATCTTCAGATCTTTCTTGCGCAACACATCAATATTGACTTTAATTCTTTTGCTTATCTTCCTCATCGTATACATTATTGTTTTCTTATACCTGAGCGTTGTTTGTCAACTGGCTAGCGTCATTAGTGTTCTTGAAAACACTCAAGGATTTAAAGCCATGAAGAAAGGTAAGTATCTCGCGAATGGGAAGAAGAAAGTGGGAATGGGAATTGCATTCGTTTTGTACGCATTTTTGGTGGGATTATTTGTTGTGTATGAGTTGTTCGTGGAATATGGTCGAGGTGTTTTCGAATTAGCGATGGTTTGGAGGGTGATGATCGGAATATTATGTGGGCTTTTGCTTTTGATGTTGTTCTTGCTCTTCATAGTGACCCAAACGGTGCTTTATCTGGTCTGCAAATCGCATCATCGGGAAGTGATTGATAAGCTTAGTTTGTCGACGGTTTTAGGAGCTTACATGGGGGAGACGGTGGTGAATCCCACCGTCGGCGAGGAAATCCAGCTTGGAGGACCTCAACTACAACAACAGGTTTAAAAGGCTTTATTTGGTAGTATATTTTGCAATATATTGTTGTACTTGAGTGGAAAGTAGCAATCAAGGTCATGTTGTAAAAGTCCAGGCTATCTACTCATATCTCATTCAGATTTTTCTCTCCTTAAACTACCTTTTGCATATATTATTGTGCACTTGTACTTCATATATTTGATGTAGTGTTTGTAAGTTGTTCATTGAACATTGTACTTGAGTTTAAGTTATTTTTGGAAAGGAAACTCCGGAAAGTCTTATGTGCAATAATGTTATTATGTTCAAGAATTATGTTATGGAAATTGGAACATTTGAAGAAGCTATATAAAGGGAAAGACATGAAAATCATATTAACATGTAATTTGGAATTTAGTGATCTAAATAAATAATCCGACTCAAAACAAAGTTAACGAATTTTAAATGACCCGAAGTTATACATAACAAACACTTATCTAGTTACGGTGGATGGGGATCATAGTGGCGGTACATACCTATTTGGTTATTAAGGTTTGCAGGGTTTGCTGTTACAAATATTTAAAATAATGTGAGCATGTGAAACGCTTAATAGAAGAGATATCCAGTTTATGTCTACGAACATAGGTTATATCGAACAAATCATGTTAAATCCGTATGTCGTTTTATTGTTTTCCTTTTGCTGTCTTGCATAGCAATTTGATGCGGGAGTCAGAAGAGATGGAATACTTCTTGTATATGGTGTTTCTTTGAGATAAAATTGCGAGAATGGTCCCTGTGGTATGTAAAAATGAGCAAGTTTGGTCGCAAGGGTGGTCAGAAAGTTTTATTTTGTTGCGAGTTTGGTCCATTTTGTTTTAAATTTTTATAGAATAACGATTTTGCCCTTGGTATTTTTTTTTCCAGTTTTTTTATTACAAAAATCTAAACAAGAAAACAAAAAAGAAACACACACACTCTCTCTCTCTCTCTCCCTCTATCTATCTCTCTCTCTCTCCCCCTCTCTCTCTCTCTCTCTCTCTCTCTCTCCAACAATTAAAAAAATAAAACTAAAATACCCCATTTCCTTCTTCCCTGTCTCTCTTACAACAAAACATAAATAGTTTTTAAATGCCTCTCACCGGAAGCCAAAGCATTGTCGAAGTCGCAACCCTCATAAATAGTTTTTATGCTTACAGTTTTCAGTTTATGTTTCAGGTACTTCCGATTCCAAGGGGAAGAGCTCGGGATGACTGAATCACACACGCCACATGGTTTTTGCTTTAAGATATTACTCTGAAATGATGTGTGATACACTTTTCTATCATTTGGGTTGTATGAATAATGTTTTGGAATACTGTTTGGATCGTATTTTTGGAGGTTACAAGTTGGTATCAGAGCCTTGGTTTGAGGGATTTGGGCACACTCTCGGGTGTGTCTGAACTCAAACTGAGGATTTGATAAATTTTTTCAAAACGAAATATATTTTAAGAAAAGGGTTTTTTTCCAAAATAAGACGGAGTGTGGTGCATGCAATCAGCCGAGCTCAAGTAAGTTTTCCCAGAATACCCATACATGTTATCTGTTATGCTTTGATCTGTGAATTTGTGAATTGCATGCTAGTTACCGCTAAGGATCTGCTCAGTTTTTGCATAATAAAATGTTAGGATAGATACCCTTGTATGCCTATTGTATGAGCTTGTAGAATTGCATGCTAGTATTGATTAGTCAGTGATAGGGTGGCTTGATTAGGCAATGTTTAAACCTGGTTACTTGATGCCTGAATGCTGCTTGCTTTGTGCATTATAGGAGTTCTAACTAGCTTTAGCTAACTAGTAAGAAAATATGCAAAGTTACATGTTATGATAACTAAATAATTTAAGAAGGCTATGTTTTAACTCTGTTGCGCAGCTCTTATCTGAGTCCAACCGTTATAGTGTGAGACCTCTTATTCAAAGAATTATCTGGTTTTTTAAATATGTAATTGTATTCACGAGCTAGTTAGAGGAAGTTAGTGGGAGTTCCTTCTGCAGTTGATGGCAGAGAGTGGAGTAGAGTTTGCCCTAGGAAAACCTAGGATGACATGTAGTGTTGGGAGCCTTATCTGTGAAGGATAGCTGTATGGATATAAAGTGACTTGGTTGAGTTAAGGCAATCATTGAGGAAAGTACGTATAGATGTGGAAGGTAGTATGGGCCCATACTACTGAAAGTAAAGGATTCGTACACGATTCAAGGAGGGCTGCGATGAAACCAGGGAACTTGTGGAGTTTGTGATTCTCTCGATATATATATATATATATATATATATATATATATATATATATATATATATCGATATATGTATTTTGATGGTTTATATGGTCTATTTTAAGTATGGTGACATTGAGAGGCAGACTTGTTCGCAGTTCTGGTGCTGGTGAGGGTTTGGGCTCAGGTTCTGGAGCAGGGCAACTTGATGACCAGACGAGGGAGTTCATCTCGTTTGATATTACATGCAATATCCTTGATTAGACTCCTGTGATCTTTGGCATAGTCAAGGAAGGTATACTGGAGATTCTGGATGAACGGTTGAGCGCCTTTCGTGTTGAGATGGTGGCTTTGGTTAGAACACGTTCTTTGACCTTCAGAGAGTTATGGGCATGTGGAGCTCCGGATTATCACGAGGCGAGGGATCCGATTGCGAGTAGGAGATGGTTAGCAAATGTTGCTAACACCTTCCATACCAGTCATTGTCCCAAGGGGGACAAGGTCAGACTAGCCTCCTGCCTTTTGTAGGACATGGCATGAGACTGGTGGATGGAGGTAGGACGTGTAGTGGGTGATGATGTTGTTGATGTGATAACCTGTGATGTTTTCTCGATCAGATTTCAAGCTGAGTTTGCACCAATGATTGAGGTGTAGCAGTTAGCACGAGAGTTTCAGGATCTCCGCCAAACTACTCAGATGGTGGCTGAGATCACCGCTATGTTTTAGGAGAGGGCACTTTTGGTACTGTAGTATGTAGCAGACGAGGAGATGAAGAAGGCCTGATATCATGAGATGTTGAGGAGTGACATTCGACATTTTTTTGAGCCGATTTAGCTACAAGACGCTGGAGGATATGATAGCACAAGATAGGGAGAGGAGATTGATCTGGAGATGGAGAAGAAGAGGAAGCTGGATTTTGTGTCAAGTGCTGAGGGTTTAGTTAAGAGGCCCAAGGTTGTTGATTCGAGGGGGAATGACCAGCAGGCCCGGAGCCATTGCGGAAAGTGCAACAGGTCGTACGAGGGGACGTGCATGGTGGGTGGTTCTGGCTGCTTCAAGTACGGTCAGACTGGTCATATTAGCAGGGATTGTACTGCTACCACCACCATCACCGTGGTATTTGATCTGATTTGCTTTCATTGCAGCTAGAGGGACCACAAGAAGGCCTATTATCTGAGTTTGGTTGTGGCAGGACCGATGTCAACACCCACTCCTGCGATTCTTTGGATTACTGACGGTCGCCAGGGCTGGGTAGACGTACCTGTGACGAAGAGCAAGGCTTTCCAGTTGACGACCGAGGAGGCATGTGTAGCTCCCGATATAGTGACAGGTATGTATCTTTTCCTTATCTCTTTATTTATATTGAATTGATTGCTTATATTTTTGTGTTTTATTTTAGGATCGTTCCTTGTGAACGCTATTTCTGCATTTATATTATTTGATTCTAGGGCTACCTGACCGTTTGTATCGCTTGCGATTAGCAAGAAATTTGCTAGAGCTCCGGGGGAGTTGGATTGTCCTTTAGATGTCGAGGTTTCCAATGATAGGCCTGTTTGGGTTACGACGCTCCATCGGGGTTGTACTCTCTAGTTATTCAACGAGAAGTATCTGGTTGATTTGGTTCCTATTTCTCTGCCTGGGAACAAGGTTATCGTGGGCATGGATTGGTTAAGCCCTAATGGGGTAGTGATCGACTGTAAGCAGCAGTTGGTACGAGTTCGAACCCTAAGTGGGGGAGAGTTGGGGATTCATGGGGAGAGACCCCATCATCGGTCGATTATGTATTCTACAGTGAGGCTTAGATGCTATTTTCAACAGGACTGCTTGGGTTATGTACCCTCTGTCATGGATACCTAGGATAAGGGTAAGGAGATCGTGGATAATGTGTCAAATATGAAGGATTATCTGGATGTATTCATGGATAATTTTTCTTGGGTGCCTCCAGAGAGGCAATTTGAGTTCAGGATTGATTTGGTTCTAGGTGCGACTCTGATAGCCCAAGCACCATATCGGTTGACACCTCCCGAGATGCACGAATTATCTACACAGTTACACGAGCTGTTAGATAAGGGATTTATTCGGTCAAGCAGTTTGTTTTGGGGAGAACCGATTATGTTTGTGAAGAAGAAGGATGGGTCTCACCGTATGTGTATTGATTACCGGGAGCTGAATAAGGTAATAGTGAAGAACCCTTATCCACTCCCAATGATTGATGATCTTTATAACCAGCTTCAGTCTTGGTTCTCCAAGATTGATTTGCGATCGGGTTATCATCAGATGTGGGTCAGGGATGAGGATGTGCAGAGAACAGCTTTTCGAAGTTGATATGGTCATTATGAGTTCGTAGTGATGCCTTTTGGGTTCACCAATACCCCATCAATGTTTATGGATCTAATGAACCGCATTTGCAGACCAATGTTAGATCATTCTATGATAGTATTTACTGATGACATATTGGTTTATTCCAAGACTCAGGAGCAACATGAGGAGCACTTGAGGGAAGTGCTAGAGACTTTGAGGAGGGAGAGACTTTTTGCAAATTTGTCCAAGTGCGAGTTCCCATTGTGCAAGGTGCAGTTTCTGGGTCACCTTGTCAACCATAAAGGTATTTTGGTTGATCCAGCCAAGGTCGAGGCCATGATGCAGTGGGAGGTTCCGAGGTCTCCATCTGATATTCTGAGCTTTCTTGGTTTGGCTTGTGACTATCAAACATTCATCCAGGATAGCTGTTCCTTTGACCCGAATGACCAAGAAGTCGGTTACTTTTCGATGGGGGCCTGAGCAATAGGCAACTTTCGAGACTATGAGACAACGGTTGTGTGAGGTGCCGATTCTGATCCTACCAGAAGGTGTTGATGATTTTGTGGTTTATTGTAATGCTTCAATCTCTGGTTTGGGGACAGTGTTGATGTTGAAGGGTCGCATGATTGCTTATGCTTAGAGGTAGCTAAAGCCTCATAAGGAGAATTATCCGACACATGATTTGGAGTTGGGGTCATGGTTTTCTCCCTCGTGTTTTGGAGACATTATCTCTATGGGGTCCATTGTACTATTTACACAAATCACAAGAGCCTGAGGTACATGATGGATCAACCAAATCTGAATATAAGGCGACGTTGATGGTTGGATGTGGTGAAGGATTATGATTTTGAGATCCTTTATCACCCAGGGAAGGCTAATGTGGTGGCCGATGCTCTCAGATACAAGGCAGTCGCGACTCCAATCAAAGACACATGTTTAAGGATGACCGTGATTACTCCATTATTGGAGTAGATTCGGGAGGCATAGGTTGAGGCTATGAAGGAAGAGCACCGGAAAAGAGAGCATATTATGGGGCAGGTGGGTTCCTTCGATTATGATAGTCATTGTTTGTTGACTCTACATTGGCGATTTTGGGTTCCGTATTGGGGTAGTGTATGTAAGATTCTGATAGAGGATGCTCACAAGTCGAGGTTCTCCATTCATCCCGGGGTGATGAAGATGTATAAGAATCTTCGTCTTGATTATTGGTGGCCCTGCATGAAGCGGGATGTGGCATGGTATGTTAAGCAGTGCATGACTTGCAGGAAATTCAAGGTCGAGCATCAGCATCCTCACGACAAGATACAACTGTTAGAGATTCTCATATGGAAATGGGAGGACATCACTATGGATTTTATCATGAAGCCTCCCAGGACTGTGTGTGGATTTGATTTGGGTCATCGTGGATCGTTTGACCAAGAGCATGCATTTCATTTCGGTTCTGGAGAGTATTTATGCAGAGAAATTGGCCGAGTTTTATATCAGCGAGGTGGTGGCATGTCATGGGGTACCGGTATCAGTGGCTTTTGACATGGATGTTCGTTTTACTTCTAGATTTTGGAAGAGATTTCATGAAGAGTTGCGCACTCGTCTTCATTTCAGTACAACCTTTCATCTACACAACGTTGGTCAGAGTAAACGGACTATCTAGACCCTTGAGGATATGTTGCGTGTGTACGTGTTAGATTTCGGTGGGAGTTGGGATGC